GTAAACCCGCCTTTCTTTCTCGTTTTGTATTTATTCAATAAATTATTAGGTTTCCTAGCAATAAACTGTCTATCAGAACATAAAATACACGCCGACGCCTTATAATCTGATATTTAGTTTTCTAAACCAAGGCTGGATTAAACATTCGATTAAATATACAGGCTGAGTTAAAAGTAACGTCCATTTTCTGATTTTACGTCTGTCTGAAGATGGTTGGTTTGCCATTTGTTTTACAGTGTATAAAACAGAAATGAATAAAAGATGTTTGTCCAACCATTTATTCGCGAGAAAAATCATTCAAAAATACTACAAATCTGTTTTACTTATGTTATTAAAAAAATATTAAATGTACTCTCCCATGTGAACAAAGCACAATTGTCTCGGCGAAGGCCATTCTTCTTTGAACATCGTGTACTGACGCTGTACAGAATCGCAAAGAAATAACTGTACCAAATAAAAGAAACCACATCACGTGAAAACTACCAGCAACGGCAACAACTAAAATGGATAGCAAATGTAACTCGAAGAGAAAATAATAACATAATCAAAGTGTTGTCGTTCCATACTACTTCAAACAAAAGGTTAGGAAGGAAACCTCTATCAGTACTAGAAAGAGCTATAACAGTGGACTTGAAAAACCTATTTTCCTGAAAAAATTCTCTAAGAGAAAGATTTTATAAATTTCAACCGACTGAAGTACAACTGCTTGGTCAATGAATGCTGTTTCCTTATAGGGAAAAGGCTAATATTATTAATTTTGTTTTATATTTGGTGGGGGTGTTTCTTCTCCTTACCTAATCCATTCTACTTCTAAACACAATGTAGAAGGTTCCATTTCCCTTCCCAACACTTTCTTTTACTTCTGACCAAGGAAATGAACTCCGGTGTAATACAAATAGTAGAATAAAGGATGTACATGGAAATGCGTTGGTTGTTGTTCGATTCGTTTAGCGGCATATCAACACCCCTATGGGTTATTTAATGCCAAAATCTAAATAACTTGAACGCAATTTTAAGGCTTCAATTACCGTAAATCTCCATGTATAATACGCATTTTTTCTAAAAAAAAATAATAAGCAAAATCAGGTGTGCGTATTATGCGCAGCTAAAAAAAAAATTTCAAATAAATAAGAATTATCATAAAACTAAATTTTTAAAACCATTTTTAAATAAGAGTAGGAAACGCTGGCCGTAATGTAATTGGAGAGGTACAATTTATAGGGTTTGATTACCAAACAAGGGGTGCGTATTATGCCCGAGTAGAAGCATTTTTCCACACTTTCAGAACAATTTTAGCGGTGCGTATTAGAGATGAAGGTGTATTATACATGGAGAATTACGTTATATATATTTTAAATACAACTGTATGTCTTCAACTACAGATAAAATGTTTAGTTGGTCCTTTTGTTTTAAAAATGTATTGTTGGTCATTTTACTATAAATCGGTGTTGTTGTTTATTTCACTATAAATATGTATTGGTCATTTTCTTAAATAAAAATTTTTGCAAATCTTTTTACTATTAAAAAATGTATTTTTATACTTTCCGAGTGCGTTGTTTTTGTTTGGGAGGTTCATTATTTGCCCATATCTGGGACACTAACAGGTGCTTTCACCCCGGGTTAAGGATTGAACCTGGGAACAATAAAGCAATTGAGAGCTGGTTTCATACTTTTCAAAACCTCCAATCTCCCGTTCGTTTAGAGATACATCAACCAGTTTATTCTTTTTTTTACCGAAAAATGTATTCATAAGAAACCTTCAGATTAGTAGCTGAAGATAAAGAACATGAAAAAATTAAAATTAATATGCGAGCCAAATACCGTAGCAAAATAATCATTTTAGTAATTTTGACTCGATTCTTCAAAATTATGTCCGGATATGAGGCACTTTTTTCTTGATTTTTTTTTTAAACGAGAGACAACCGGACTAAGAAGGCCTTCCGGATATGAGGAATTAGTTACAAAGTCCGGATATGAGGGGTTATATTTAGATTAATATAAAAGAACTGAAATCAGCTTTAACATTTATTTTCAATGTTTTATAGTAAACAAAATAAGCTAATGGCGAATGAAATATAAAGGAATTGATTTTAAGGGAAAAGAAATAAATTATGTAATGTTAATAAAAATCCATTAAATTTAACATGCCACGTATGCAAAACAAACAATGTAAAGAGGATTTTTTAATCGCTGTTGCATTATGATTCTTTCTCTTCTAATGTCATTCTCAATTTTTTCGGAATTTTGTTTTGCTTTTGTTCTTGAAATTTTTTTAAACGAAAGACACTTTTTAACTCTACGTACGTTATTGCAATCGTCATAGCTAAATGCTGGCTTTCTTTCCATAAAATTGACAACTTTTTCAATAGCTTTTTCAATTTCAGTCCAGATTTCATCATAATCATGTTTTTTTTTAATTTCTTTGTTTATTGTGTGAACGATGGAGAATAGTTTCTTTAGAAGATTTTATATCATACAATGTTAACTTTCCTATGTTGAACTCGGCCATTAGTTACAATGAACTTTCCCCAGCGTCTAGTCAGTTTAAAATTCCCGCTTTTTGCGATAACCCAGAAACTGTTCTTTTCCTCTTATTCCCATCATCTTTTGCACCAATACAAGCCATTGGAGTGAAATAAGCATGAGCAATTATCCAAAGTAAATTTCCTGAAAAACAGAAATTTCAAATCAGTTACATATGACACAAATATGCACATAAAAATCATGTCCGGATATTCGGGATTCCGGATATTCGGGATTCCGGATATGTGAGATTCTACTGTATTTTAGAATGTCGGAGTTAGCTCCTCCTTAATTCCCTAATTGTTCACTAGGGGTCGCGCTCCCTACACTATAAATACTGGGCGATTTCTTGCCTCGTTCTCTTTTTCACTTTGCATTTCATCGGACACATTTAAAAATGTGATCTCTCGCAGAGATCTGCGTTTTCGACCCACTTATAAGGGGGGGAGCCACGAAGGACACATACACGTACGAACTAACTTTCACCAATATACAATCTTTTTACGTTCACACACAAACACAAATGTTGATGTCTATGTCCGTTTTAAATTTGTTGTTTAATACATATATTTGTTGACATATATACAGTGTAACCCGGATATAAGAGAGTTGTCGGGACCGGAGAAGAAGTCTCTTATATCCAGGTTTCTCTTATATCCGGGTTTGGTCTATTTTGTTTAGGTAAGTATGGGCTCTAATTTGAGACCAGAGAAAATCACTCTTATATACGGGTTTCTTTTATATCCGGGTCTCTTATATCCGGGTTACACTGTATATACATATCGGTCTTGTTTGTTTTCTTTACATTTTTGGGTTGGACTCAACCTGAGTTCGCCATGTTCTTGTTGTTGGACCTTTTTCTAGCAGGAAATAAACAGCCCGTGTTCTTAATTCAACAACACTCAAACCCACACGGTTCTCTACAAGATTTAACTGGTACAGATATTTTAATAGTTTTAGTAATTTTGACTCGATTCTTCAAGCTTGTCGTTAGCGTTGAGTATTGATATAATGTATTAATATGCGAGCCAAATATTAACAAATTGTCTTCCCAGAACCTGAGCGCTAATCTTGATTCATTCCTGCATGTATCCTCGATGTTACATTGACCTGTTAAAAAGATTCTAGTTCTGCTACTAAACAGAACATATCTTTTAAGTACCATGGATTGACAGAAACCCGAACAAATAGATATTGGGAATAAAACGTATTGATCAAATTTTGGTCGGATTAAAACAAGGTCGCACTTAGGAAGCTGTACTACATTTTAACGTATAGTGTTTGGTTTGATTTAGTTTGCTCTACTTTGTTTTACGGCATATCATCCCCAATGGGATATTGCCAATCCACTGAGTAACGCTCTCTCCTTAGCAAATTAAAAATGCCTTCCCTAGGGAGTTTCTCTAATATTATACATGTTCCTCATAAAAAATGATGGATACTTTAGTTTTCATTGAGCTCGACAAAATATAAACTCTTTAGCTGTTGAAGTTTATCTAATCAGTACACAATCCGATGAGACGTTATGTTTACATTGCCTTGTATGTTCCAGATGATAAATATAATTAACGTTTCGTCAAAGGTTACCTGGTTTTATTTCTTTATTACTAGATGTTCATTCTCACTACTTGAACGTTTTGCTTTGGTTTACTTTGTTTTACGTCATATCAACCTCAATGAGTTATTTAATGTCGACAACATTTCTATTGCTGGTAATATTTTTTCCAAAAAAGTATTGCCGGTAATAATGTATTGCTAATAAACAGACGAATGGTAGATTTGTAAATGTGCAAGATGGATTCTGGCGGCAAAAACAAACAAACCGAAGAATAAAAAAAGAAAAACTGTTAAAAACAATCTGAATGGTTTGGTTTGTTTTGTTTTACGGTATATTAACCTCAAATACCCTTGAGAGACTTTTGAATCCACCGCTTCTCCCCCCCAGCTATGGGTTAATTAGAAGAACTTGTATAAGTAAAATTCAGTATCTCCAAACAATTCTTCCAGCCTAAATATATTTTCTGGCTTTAAATATCCTGCTGATATGTTGTTAAGCAGTAAAAAAAAAAACAAATAAATCCTTTATGTGCCCTAATTTGTATTAAGTTTATTGTATATGAATTCTTCTTCTATGTGCCGTGTCCCTTCCGAACTTTGGCAATCATGGTTCTCCACAATTTCTTTTCATTGTAGATCTTAATTAATCGTGTCTTTATTATCTCACCTAAACTTTGATCCGCTATCTATTTACTGAAGCTCTCTAGGTAGGTTATGCATTCATTTCCTTTACGTCTCTTGCCTACATTCTGTCCTCTGAGTGTTAAACTTTCCAAGCCCTCTATACGTGGTTAAAATATTAATTAATAATGTATCATGTCTCTTTAGTTGCGGTTGGATTGCTAATAATGTTGTCGGGCCGTCGATGAGTAACGTTCTCCCCTTCGCAAAATAAAAATGACATCCCTAGAGAGCTATTC